GTCAAACATCTATCGTCCTTATCTCCCCTTCTTCTTTTTTATGTTTGTTACTCTCTTGTAACACCTCTAATCTTCTGGCGCTCATATGACCTTTTGCAGTTGCGAGCACCGTAAAACCTCTTCTAAAACTAAACTTACTTTGTTTCTGCACTTAACGACCATCATTTTATCGATGTGCTTCTCTTTACTCTGGGAGGTTGGTGGGTGCTCTGGTGTGGTTTGCTCCTCCTTTCCTACCAAACATCTATCATACTTATCTCTCCTCCTTCTCTTTTCTGTTTATTACTCTCTTGTAACACATTATCTATTTTTCGGCACTTATATGACCTTATTGTGTTGAAAGTGCCGTAAAACTCTTTAAAACTCTTTCTAAAACTATATTTACTTTGTTCTAGCACTAAATGACCATTATTGTGTTGATGTGCTTATGTTTACGACTCCAACAAACAGGCAGGTAAAATGATAATTATTTGTACAGTGCCTCTATAACTTTTTCTGTTTCTCTCTTGGCGGTTCACAGGAAGGCAGCCCATTCATCGTGTGTATGACGTATGCATTTCAAACGCCGGAGAAGCTGTGCTTCATCCTTGACCTCATGAACGGCGGTGACCTCCACTACCACCTGTCGCAGCACGGCGTGTTCACGGAGAAGGAAGTTCGATTCTACGCCGCCGAGGTCATTCTGGGTCTGGAGCACATGCACAGTCGCTTCGTGGTCTATCGGGATTTGAAGGTGTGTGTGTGTGGGGTGTGTGTGTGTGTGTGAGAGAGAGAGACATGCGCAGTCGCTTCGTAGTCTATTTGGACTTGAAGGTTTGTGTGGGGGTGTGTGTGAGGGTGTGTGTACACAGTCACTTCGTGGTCAATCGGGATTTGAAGGTTTGTGTGGATGTGTTTGGGGTGTGTGTGTGTGTACACAGTCGCTTCGTGGTCTATCGAGACTTGAAGGTGTGTGGGTGTGTGTGTGAGAGAGAGAGACATGCGCAGTCGCTTCGTGGTCTATCGGGATTTGAAGGTTTGTGTGGGGTGTGTGTGTGTACACAGTCACTTCGTGGTCTATCGGGACTTGAAGGTGTGTGGGTGTGTGTGGGGTGTGGGGTGTGTGTGTGTACACAGTCGCTTCGTGGTCTATCGGGACTTGAAGGTACACTGGTGTATGTGTATATGTGTGTATGTATGTCTTTGTGCATGTGTGTGCGTGCTGGGCTTGAGCACAGATTCATAAAAATATGAGATGCTGTTCTCATGTTGTTTTGACGGTGTTTTGATGTTGTTTTGATGGTGTTTATATGTTGTTCTGACCATGTTTCAGCCGGCCAACATTTTGCTGGACGAGAACGGCCACGTGAGGATCTCTGACCTTGGACTCGCCTGTGATTTCTCCAAGAAAAAGCCGCACGCCAGCGTGTAAGTCTCTGACGTGGGTGGTCGGCGGGTGGGCTGGTGCTCTGGCGTGGTTTGCTTCTTCTTCTTTCCTATCAAACATCTATCGTCTTTATCTCCCCTCCTTCTTGTGTTTGTTACTCTCTTGTAACACCTCTAGTCTTTATCTCCCTCCTTCTTGTGTTTGTTACTCTCTTGTAACACCTCTAGTCTTCGGCACTTATATGGCCTTATTGTGTTACAAGTGGCGTAAAACTCTTACGAAAAAAAAAACCGCTGGAAAATTAATAAATGAATTAACTTGATTTTTTCTTCATCCGGACAGACAAAAGTGAACAAGCTGTAGTTTATGATTTGTGTTATTAAAAGGGGAACTTGTTAGGGCAAGATTTATATCCTAATGTGATAACATTATGTGTGGGTGGTTGTAAGATGCGGCTGGAAGGTGTTATTTTTTCATCTTTCTCTCCATAGTTTCTGTTTCTGTTATACCGCCGTGCTATTTCCCCAAACTAAACGACCGTTATGGCATCGATATCTTTCTGTTTTTCTCAAAGAGAAAATGACCCTTTTTTCTGAAAGAAGAGTTTTGCGGAGCGTTGTCAGCTTCATAATACAAATGTGAGGCAGCGTGGTGGAATCAGGCTCTCGTCAATATTTGGGCTTATAGAGTTATTGGTATCATCTTTAAGCTTGTTCACTTGTCTTTATTTGGATGAAAAAAGTATCCATTTATCTTGAATACAAGTCGAGATATTTGTGAATGAAGGAGGTGGAGGTCACCTGTTTTCAGAAGTAAAATTACTGAGAAAATGGCCGCCAAAGATTAGTTATTTGCTTAGCTTAAAAGTTCATGGTAACTGAAAATATACATTTTTTTGTGTCTTTAATCGTTTTTATGAAAAATCCACACAGAAATGAGTTCTTTAATGGTCATGAAAGGTGTTGAGCCAAAAAACAAAAATTTGATAAAAATTTACAAACCAGCGGAAAAACGCAAGTTCCTTCACTTTGATTATTTTGACGAGAGCCTGATTCCACCACGCTGCCTCACAAATAATTGTGTTTCCTTCTGTGTGAAGGTCTATGTCAAACAGTTAGCCCATGATAGGGAAAAGTAGAAAGTGTTTGTTCACGGTCTGTATGCCCTGATCCAGGGGGAGAAAGGCTGTGATGTTGGTTTATAATGTGGCGCAAGTGCTTTCACACTTTGCAGTCACAGCCAGCAGTACAAAATACCCCATCTAGTCACCCAGCTAGGAGAGTTATTGCAACAGACTTCTCGGGCCTGGAGCAGGCCAGGTGACCGGAACGGATAATTTTTACCGACGCATTATTGCACCAGGTGACCTCAAAGTGTTAAAATTCTTCCTAAGTCTTTTTTTAAAAACTAGAAATTATGTGTTTGTGTGTCTGTGTGTAGGATTGTCTGTTTACCATATGTGTTTGTGTGTGTGTTTATACGTTAATGTGTTTGTGTGTATGTTTCAGAGGCACCCACGGCTACATGGCCCCTGAGGTCCTACAGAAGGGCACGGCCTACGACTCTAGTGCAGACTGGTTCTCCTTCGGATGTATGCTCTACAAGTTGCTCAAAGGGTTCGTCTCACTCTCACTCTCACTCTCATTTTCTCTCTCTCTCTCTC